GAGTCAATCAACCAACGCTACTCAAAAAACACCACCCAACCATCAAGGTAAATCGTCGCTTCTGAGGAGCCCTTTAGATCACTCAACACCCAAGACCCACACCGCAAGTCCAAAAAAGACTCGCAACAGCAATCAGCCTGAATCAGCCATACCCAAAACCAAGCAGAGTATACAAGAGACGAAACAGGGTCAATCAACAGTTGTCCCTCAAAACGTAACTGTTGTGAAAAAACAAAAAAAAGTTCCATAAAATTAACCGCGCCTGCTTCAACGCATCAACCGTATAAACGTGCTGGACAATTCAACAGAAACAAGGCAAATCCTAAAGAGATCGGGGAAAAGAGAGGAAACCCCAAGCCCCAAAAGGACAGCCGCAAAGTAAATCGGTAACCAACAGGTTTTCATATGGGTGCTCCGCCCGATGGCTTCAAGGCAGCTATCTCGCGACTCGAGAAACAAGAAGCTAGAATTGAGAACTTGGCTCGCCACATACAAAGGTAACTCATAGAGATCCAGAAGCTCCACGCGTCCTACGAGATCACCTTAGGCAGGACGCGCAACGTGATAATTCACGCTCCAGAGCCAGTTATCTCCAACACCGCTCAACGGATCGCCGCAGAGAAAACAATCATTCTGAGTGTGCTGCGCAACACCGGTTGTCACCCCAAAATGACTTGGAAACGAGCACACAGGTTGGGAAAGTGGGTCCCATCAAAACAGAATGGCCTCCCTACCAGTCGACCTCTGCCCGTGGAACTCGACAGTGCAAAAGAACTAGACTTTTGCTGAGCTCTATAGAGGACACCTGGAACCGAATGAGGGCAACATTGTACTCCTCACAGAAGTCTACGTTCTTGTGAAAACAACGGGGATAAGGGGACACAAACCCTGGTTCCGACCCAGAGTCGGCCGGGCGTTTAAGAAGAAATACCAGGCATGGATGGCATTCAACAAACAGAGAAGCCTCCTGCTCTTTGATCGCTTTAAACGTCTCCGCAATAAAGCTATCAAAGTAGCACGGGAGGCTAGACTCAAGTATGAACTAGCCATAGCCAACGAGGCTTCAAAAAACCCCAAAAGATACTTCGGCTACGCTCAAGCCGGTCCTCATCAAGAAAAGTGATCGGCAATGCCCTTCGTATTAATGGACAACTCTTGACCACCGACAAAGATATTGCTGACTCGTTCCGCGCCTCGTTCCAAGAGGTCTTTCGTCTGGATAGCCTGAGCAACTACCCTACTCTGGATCGAGGAAGCGACATGCCAGATCTGGTAATATCCACACCGGACGTGGAAAAAGTCTTTAAAACTCTTAAAATTTCCAAATTCGCGAGTCCAGATAATATCCACCCAGCCGTCATAAAACCGATAGAGTCCTTAATGATTCCCCAACTAGTCACAATGTTCAATGACTCTCTGAAAACGGGTCGGATTCCGGAGGACTGGAAACATGCCACAGTTGTCCCAATCTTCAAAGGAGGTAACCAATCGGACCCGTCCAACTATCGTCCGATCAGTCTCACCAGCATCGTCGCTAAGCTCCTGGAGCGTATTCTGCGAGATTACATAAGCGCGCGCCTTCTACAAATCGGTTTCTTTTGAAACGCTCAACACGGATCCATCAAAGGCAGATCTTTTCTAACAAATCTGTTATGTTTCCTAGGCGTAGTAACACAGAAATTAGACGAGGGAATTGAAGTCGAAGTGTGCTGCCTGGACTTCCAGAAAGCATTCGATTCAGTTAACCACAGGTTGTTAGATTTCAAGCTCGGAGAAACTGGGCTTAATCCGAAAGTCTGTAACTGGGTTAGAGCGTTCTTGTCGGGGCGGACCTACAGGGTTCGTGTGCGGGGATGTCTGTCGGAGGTGGGTTCCCCCACGAGCGGGGTCCCACAAGGATGCATCCTAGCTCCCCTTATCTTCCTAGTCTATGTCAACGATGTAACATCAGGTTTGGAGAACCCCTGCTTTTTGTACGCGGATGACATCAAATTAGTTGGAAACCCGGACGACATATACTCCTTGCAGAGTGATGTCTTAAAAGATATGCGAGTGGTCGCAAAAGTGGGACCTCCCACTCAACGCATTGAAGAGTTACCTGCTAGCCAAAATAACACATTCCGTCTCTCGTCAGATCCTCACTGCGTCCGGAGCATATGCAACCGTAGCTTACAAATCAGAGGCAATGGACCTAGGGATAAGAGTCTCCAACACCTTTTCCCCGTCCTCTACCGCTGTTGCAGCAGCCTTAAAAGCCAGGCTTGCTCTGTTTAGACTCCGAACGGCAATCACCAACCGCTGTCCTAGTGTATTCATGCCCCTGTACACAGCCATTGTAAGGCCCCACCTCGAGTACTGCGTTCAGGCTTGGGCACCGTATCTTCAGAAGGACATCAAAGTTCTAGAAGACGTTCAGCGGCTAGCAACCCGGATGGTCTGGGGTCTAAAAGGACTCAGCTACTCCGAAAGACTGAACTCCCTGAACATGTTCTCTCTAGTACGCCGACGGATGAGGGGGGACCCCATTGAAGTGTACAAAGCTACCAGGAACATGGAGCAGTCCCCCATTGGACACCTGTTCACCCTGAGGGTCAACGACATCCTCCGAGGGCACTGTTTCACACTAGAGAGAACCAGGTGCAGACTAGCAATTAGACATCACTTCTTTGCAAACAGAGTAGTCCCTGCATGGAACAAACTACCAGCTCGAATAGTTGATTGTCCTACAATGAAGGCTTTCGAACTTGAGCTGGACAAGGAGTGGTACCTCTTATTCCCAGAACTGCCTTGGGATCAGGGTTCCCCAAGCTTACTGATGGAATGCACATAACAGATACTGCGCCGTCTCCCTTTCCCTTCCACATTCCAGATATTACTCCCTCGTGGAGAATCGGAAGAAGCTTTACACTCGCAGGCGAGTTGGTCCACAGACGGAACCCGCAAATACAAGGACACCCAACAAGCGAAGGCCTCTCTAAGTCCTGTGATTTGAATTTGAAGCACTTTTTGCTTTCAGACACTCTCGAGCATATTCAGGCTAAAACTCCGGTGCTCTCAGGGCACAATATACTTTCCCTCGACTAACCGGCTGTTCTTCCTGATCCATACCGAGTGAGCGAGAAACACGAGAGAATTAGAGATCGGATCGCTGTCGCAGGTCGCGTAATTGCATCCGCCCGTTCCATTTTCCTGGTTATTGGTACATTTTTACGGATTTTCGTTTTCAATAACCACCCGTGTTTTGTTTTTCTCGATTTACATACAAACATGTATTTGCGCTACAATTAATTAATTTTTAGAAAATATTTTTTCGTTTTGCTCGATTTCGGTATTTTCACGAAATTACTGTTACGGTTCTGTTTTCGACTGTGTTTAGTCAGCTATATTCGAAATCATGGCTGAATAAAATACTCACCCCTATTAAGCAGCACCCGGTGGTTCTAAACGCGGTCAATTTCACTTGTCCGCTCTTTTCCCATAAAAATCCCCCCGTGTGGTTTTCTGTGGTCGGAGCCCATTTTTCGACTCCAGGAATTACTCAGTCCGATTCCAAACTTCACCACATTGTGAAAGCTCTACCCTCAAATGTTACAGAACTTGTTTGACGTCGTCAATCTTGTCCCAGAGGAGCGTCTCAACAAGACTCTAAGAGACGCTATCTTTTCAGTTCAGTTCAGTTCAGTTCAGCTCTCACAGGACGAATTGTGGCTGTTGCCTATCGAGCGTCCAGATTTGTGTGTTGTCGGCGAGTTTCCTTGGCTTCCAACACTTCGATATGCAATTTTTCTGAAAGGCAGAAATTTGTGGTGCAGTATCACATCCCTTGTGGTTAGGTTATAGATGGTACTAAACGCTTACCTCAGGGAAGACCGCTATCCAACACTCATCAAGTACTTTCTCAAAAGCAATAACAGCACTGCAGCTTACCACTGACAGCGGCAACCGGTTTCACAACGGAACTACCCTGTAGGTCAAAACTGTTGCTCTCAGTTGTAGCCTAGAGTGGCTTCTCTGCAAACGTATGTAATGTCCCCGCGTACCTCTATGCGGGACCGAGGAGAACAGGTCGTCAAACCTAAGTCCTGACATACCCTTGACTATCTTAAATGTCTCGATTAGGTCTCCCGTCATCCGCCTCCGTGTGAGGGAGAACAGATTTAAATCTCTGAGCTACTGTTCATAGCTCTTCCCTCGTTGCCCAGCTATCACTCTCGTGGCTAGACGTTGAACCCTCTCCAAGGTATCGACGTCCTTCCGGAAGAACGGAGCCCAAGCCTGTACACAGTATTCCAGATGCGGACGGACCATGCTTTTGTAAAGAGGAACAAAGGCCTCTGGTTTTCTGCATGTCATCTTTACGCACAGACGAAACAAGTATCCTCTGGCTTTAATTTCGGCCTTCACACATTGGGTACTGGGTTTAAAATCCCGCGTGACCACTATG